TAGGTTTTTCATTTTGCATCATTTTTCTTTCTTTTCCTTCTTTTCTCATTATCAATTACCTACTCAATTCTATCTTTTCTCCTTTACACCATTCTCATTAATCAAATGATCAAAAAGGTAAAACTATCAAAAACAAGTGAACCATCTCCTACCTTTCACTTTTTTTTTTTTTTATTTTAAAGGAAATGTGAAGGAAAAGGAGAAAAAAAGAGTGAGCTTGATGATGACTTCTTTAAGATTAAAACTATTTGAAAGGTTAGATTTTTTTTTTACAACTTTTGAGTTTTTTTTTTTTTGGTTAATTTTCTCTTGAAACAAACAAACAAAAGAATGAGAAAATAAGCATTTTGTATCCAAAGTTATCATTTTAATTATTATATAAGGATTTACTATGTTTCTAAAATTATGTGCAAATTGTGATTTGGATTTTGATTTCTTTGATAGATTCTATAAATACACAATCAAGTGGAACCCAAATGTGGGTATGGATCATGTTTGATTATAAATATTATTAGTTATGGATATGGATTGTTGTAGGTATTTACAATAGGTGGATATTTATTTAAAGAGGCAAGATTTTGAGATAAGATTTGTTTGGATATTGAAAAAATAAAAAAATTAAGAGAGAAATATATTAATTTTTGAGGTTTAATATTTTAATCTATTTGTTTTTTAACATTATTCATTTTATTAGTGATTTTTTTAAAGAAAATGGATTTAGATTTGTAAATGCAAGGAAGAGAATTTATGCTATTTTTTTGGAACTTATGTTGAGGTTTGCTTGATTAACTTGAATAAAGAAAGTTGTGCTTGACTTGGGATGACTCATTGTGAGATCCACAGACGTTGAATTGATTGAAATTTAGTTTACCACCACTTATCCCTCAACTAGCCTAACCTCTATTTCAATGGATGTCAATATTCTTTGAAGGTAATAAAGTTTTGACTTTTGTATCTGTATCAATCAATTTGATTCTGATTTTGTACGTATACCAAAAATAATTACAAATACTTTTGTGTTATAGTAATCAATGTTTTGATTTTGTTGAAATTTTTGATGAGTTTTGCTAGATTAACTTGAATAACTAAGGTTGTGCTTAACTTGAGGTGGCTTGTTGTGAGATCCATAAAGGTTGAACTCACTCGAACCCAGCTTACCACCACTGATCCCTAACTGGCCCAACCTCTCTTTGGATGGAAGTTATCATTTTTGGAAGTTAATAAACCTTTCACTTTTGATATATAGCAATCAATTTGTTTTGATTTTATAGTGTCAACCAAACTTTAGGTTGCAGACAAAAATGAGTGAAAAATATTTAATTTATTTACATTTTTTTGTCAATGTACAAAGTGTTTAGAACTTGGTTGATGGCTTTTCTATCAGCAAATAAAAGGAAAGTTATAATTAAAGGACCAGTTTACGATTCCTCTCAAGTTAAAGGATGGCATCAAGAAAGATGAACAACCAGATGGAGAAACAAATGTGGAACCAAAGCCTCTTACTCATATATCAAGTTTGCATTTAATAGTTAAATTCTTTGAGATCCTGAAAGATGTGGTTGCCTTACATGTATTCCATGCACTTCACAAGTAAGCAAATATTTTTTGAACCAAGTTTTGGAATTGAAAATTGATATCCTTTATTATACATTATAAATCATTTTCTAATTATTGCTGCATATCATAACAACAATAAAACTTTCATTTTGATATTTTGTAATATCACCTACTTAGGATTTACCCACTAATAGCTGGTTGGCATAAGATTGGGATTTAGGATATCTTGACCAACTATCTAACAATTTGGTAATAAATGCAAGAACCAAAATTATAATATAAAGCTAATAATTAAGATTCCATGAAAAAAGCTTAGTCCTACTAAAATTTAGATTTTAAAAGTATGCTTTTGCTATTTTCATCAAAAAAGTAAATGGTTAAGTATTTTATTTATTTATAAAAAATTAATAGCATACTTTATACTTTGACAGATATTAGGTCAAGATTTAATTTATAAGAGGAGCGACTAAATGCATCCCACCTTTTTTCTTTCTACACCTTATCTTTTTTTTTTAAATTTTTTTAGAAGTGAAATTACTTAAATATCCTTTTTACTAGTGTTTGAATATTCATATTCAATAAATTTTTTAACTTTTTGAAAATGCATTTTGGAAAAGTGTTATGATTTTTCAAAAATTGATTATCGAAAAGTCATAATACTTCTTAGAAATGCATTTCCAAAAGTGTAAGAATTGAACTTTTTGAAAAATTAAAAAAAAAAAGGAATTTTGTTAAAATTTTTATGATTAGTGTAATAAAAAAGTTATTATAAAAAATTTTAAAATTTAAAATTAATAAAAAAATTACATTTATTATTTTGATTTTAGAGAAAGAATAAAATTTTATGAGTTTCTAATTAAATTAAAGTAAAAATAGTAATTTTTTTAAATTTAAAATTTATCATTTTTTAATAAATATTTTTGTATCAATTATTAAAATTTTATAATAGATATAACTAAATTGAAGTTTTTTGAAAAAATCTCTCCATTTACTTATCACGATAGATTTCTTCAATTAGCATATTAAATTTTGATAGAATTATATAATATTCAGTAATATTACTTATACAAATTTAAGTAATTTTTAGCACTTTTTTATTTATTAGACCTTATAATTCTTTCATCAGCTTTCGTAACATTAAGATATGAAATATTAATTAGGACCTCATAAGATTTTATTTTTTCTATAGGTTCAAAATAATAAAAATAAATTTTTATTAATTTTATAATTTATGATTTTTCTAATAATAACATTTTTCATTGTGTTAATTCATAAAAATTTTGATAAAATTTTTTTTTTGTAATTTTTTTAAAACCTTCACCATTTTCGAAAAATGGTATAACTTAATTTTTCGAGATTGCATTTCCTAGATGTGTTATGATTTTTTGAAAAGTTATAAAATTTATTGGATATAGATATTTGAATATTTGTGAGAAGGGTATTTAAGTAATATCATTTATAAAAAAATTTGAAAAAAATGGAAGTGTAAAGAGAAAAAAACGAAGGTGCATTTAGATTTTCCCACTATAAGATTTTACAGTTGCTTTTGGTTTTGGTTTTCTTCATTCTTTTTTTCTTATCGTTAAAATTTGTATACCCTACATGAACACTTTTTTGATTCACTTTATTTTGTCTTAAAAAGAGTAAATGTGATCAATTGATTAAGCAAGAGTTTATCAAGTTGTGTTTCATGAGGACAAGATTATTGATATGGTGTTGTTGGTCTCATGACCATAATTAAAGAGGTTGTTATATGTTTTTTTGTTATCTTTTAAAAAATGTATGTTATGTTTGAATTTATTATTGAATCTTTATTTTTTGCAAACTTTGTCTAATTCTTTTCCATTTTGCTTCTATTTACTTCTATACTTTCCTCTACTTCACTAGGAAATGAATCAAAGATATGGTTGCTTATTTTCATAACTCTTAATTTCTTTAATTGGTGTTCCATGTACTGATTGACAACATGCATGATTATTATTGGCATTGAGTTGGATTGTAAGTTGATTAATATAGAATATATTTGTTAATATTGCTGTTGGGCTGCATTCTGTGTTGATTGTTATTGAAAATCTATTGATAATTATTTTTATTCTTGATGCAATAATTATTGCATCACTATTTTTGGTGATGCTTGATTTAAGATTTTACATTTTTTGGTGCTCTTAACAGGCTTATTTTCTTCTTCTTCTTTTTTTTTTTTTTTTTTTTGCATTTTGCTGGTAAAGAGGAAGTTTCATTTTTAATTCACTTATAATTTGTATTAGAATGGGTCTATTAGATAAATGGCTAGATGAACCATTTTTAGATGATGTTAGTGGCTAGGTGGAGGTGAAGGAAGAAGATATATAAAGTTATTTTATTTTTATATTGAAACATCCGAAATAAAATCCATCAATGAATCCATAAGTTGATAAGTAAAGAGTTAAAACAGTTGCCCATTTGTCTTGATATTACACATGTCTCCTTCAACATTGATAACATTACTATTTATCTAATTCTTTTGTAATTTTTATATTGCAATAATAGTTACTCTTTAAAAAAAAAAAAAGAAAAGAAAAAAGTATTCGTCATCATTAAATTATCATAAATATTGTTGTTTACAGATAATTAAAAAAATAGAAACCTGCAGCAAAGTGTAGGCTAATTTTCTAGCTACTATGATTCTTTTCTCGTTGATTTTTCATGTTCTTTCAAAATATTTTCTTAAAAAATTATAATTTAGAACATAAATTTATAAAAAAATATTAAATATATAAAATTTTGACCAATTAATTTATAATTAAAATTTAAAAATTACAACTATTGTAGTCTGCCCCTCAAAAAAAGAAAAAAAACTAATAATGAAAAATAATGGCTCATTCAAAGTTCTCAAATTATTTAAAAAAAAAAAAAAGACTCAAGCAAGCTAGGAAGAAACGAGAAAAATGCAAAGCTGACCAGGCAAACCAGTTTCCCTGTCCTAGCGCCTAGCTTGGAGCTGCAAGGTAACATTTGACAAAAGCAAAAGGTGATATTTTGACCGAAAAAAAAAAAAAAAAGAAGAAGAAGAAGAAGAAGAGAAACAAACCATGTGATTTGAACTGGTACAACGATACAAGTTAGTGATTGGAAAAACATGCTTAGCTATACTTTGATTTTGTTGATTTTGGTACATGTAATTTTATGCTACAAAATAAGAATAAAATAACTTTCTTCCACCCATAAATCTCATCATATCCCATCTCTTTGTTTGAACTCAAATCTTTAATCATTGACTACTACATACTTCGGACATTGTTATGCATATATAATGTAGGATTTCTTTGTCATTCTAGCAATTATTGATCAATATTGATCAAGATTTAGGTAAGTAAACTGAAAAATTGAACAAAACCTCAACAAATGTGGTTCAAATGCTTATGTCGAATCGTTCAAGATTGATGTAAGCATGTATAATACTTTCCAAAGACATTCATATACAAGAATGATAAAGATAAGAAAAGTTAGCAGTCATCCAGAGGTTTGTATCATCCATTTTCTTTTGTAGATAACAATTTTCCAAGCATCAAGTGTATCACCAAAACCTTATTCAACAAAGAATTAAGTAGAGTTCCTTCTTCAGTTTGTAGTAGGTGATATAAAACTATCATAGCATACACTGAAGGCAAGTGCTACATCAATTCTAAGTTAAATTATAATAATGTTGTAATAGACGCACTAACGACAATTTTCAGTACATTTGCCTATGATCTTCTTGCTTCGGCTGTGTCAGCATCTTCTGTTTCACCACCTAATTTGACGATATCTTCAACAAGTATTTTTCCTTCTGTTGCAAGAAATTCAGAGGAAGAAGCAAAACAAAGAGAATCTAAGAGGTGTAAACAACAATGTTATGCACCAAAACAAAAAGAAAATTAAAGAAAAATGTAAGGACCTAAGCTTTCAGGTCAAAAAAATATCCCACTATGTCTTCCATAGAAACAACCATCAACATGGTGAAGATTTTCTTCTGAAGTAGTAGGGTCTTTCCCTTCCACTATGACTTCCTTTGTATGCAAAAAGTATTTATTTGTCTTGCTCCCAGATGTCCAAAATTCTAAGGTTCTTTACTTCATGTAATACAAAAAGATTAAAAATTAAAAAAAAAAAAAAACCCACCTTGATCTTTGGAGAGGTTGCTAATAAGCTCCTGAATACCCTCTTTGCCTAATGTGTCCTTGAGGTACATAGCAGCAGAGGCAACCTCATCAGGAGTTACTTTACCATCATAATCCCTGGCATACAAATGGGACAAATAATTGATTTGAAAAAAATCCTTCCCATGAGAAAATAATATTATGAGAAATAGGATAAAACAACTACAATAAAAATGCAAAATTAGGATCAACATTCTATGCATAAAAGTGAAACATAGTTGTTGATGGTGACACATCAAAGAATGATACTTCAGGAAAGTAGGAAACAATTAGTGTTCTGTTTGATGCAACATTGTTTCCATCCTAGAGGTACTTTGTTAAAGCATTTAAGGTGCTTTACAGGGTGTTTAATTGTGCTCAAAGCACTTCAGATAGCAGAGATCTTTACATGAAAGAATTTTCAAAGAAAGCAAGAATCCTACTGCTGCTTGCAAACATGTAGAGGCTTTCACAAGTGAAAACATGGCAAACAAAAACAAATAAGCTTCTAATAATAAGCTCTTTTGACAAAAATACTAAAAATTAATGCACTAAAAGTCACCATTTCATTTAATGGGACCAAAGACCCACAGAGATAAGCATGGCAGAAGTTCCTGCTCATTCACACAGTAAATGAAGGCCAAGAGGAGCTAGGAAAGACTCAAAAGACAAAGGAACTAGCCAGGGAGAAACAAACAACGAAGACAGATCATACGTTCAAAGACTAAAACTTGGATATGTAGGATGTCCAAGTTTAGAATATTGTTATGTTATAAGCAAGGGTCCTTCTAAACAGCTGGAGGTTAATCTGAGTGCTTTACTAGGTATGTCTTTGATTTTCTATTTTATTACAAATATTAAGTCAGATTTAGCTGATCCCCAAGGTTTCATAAGGTGGCTTTAACCCAAAGAGATAATTTTCATGTAAGATCACCAATAAAAACAAAACATGCAATTTTTTCAAAGTCGCAATGAACAAACCTATCAAGCAACCGCCAACGGTTTCCAATCTTGGCATCAACATCATCAATTTCTTTTTCAAGCTTTTGGAGCATAGCATCAACCTGATATGTGAAAAATCATTTTAACATACTGTGTTAGTTTCCAGGTTAAAACAGCATATGTTACAATCAATAATGCAGATAGCTAATAAATTAAGAACAGCAAGACTGAAGTTGAATACTGTTTAAAGTGAAGAGTATGGACATAATTACCCTGTCTATAAGCGCAGAGGAAGCTTTGTGACCAATTGCCTTCTCAGCAGTATGGTCACTATCCTCCCGGGCAGCTTTGTACGCCTTCTTAGCTTCTTCTTCACCATCTGTACCCTCTTTCTCTACCATACTGTTGTACAGTTGCATCTGAAAATGGTAAGAGCAAACAAAAATATCAACATGAAATTGTTAAAAGGGACACAGAAAAAGAAACTCAGTAACTTTAAAATCCTAAATATTATCAGAAATATGAAGGGCGATGTCAGGATGCATGGATAGTAGTCAAAGTTTTATACACTGATAGTAGCATTTTCAAAGAAAAGGATAGTATCATAACACATTTATAATGGAAATCAAGAGGAAAAACTTTTGTTCTCCACATTGAAGTCAAAGTCACCTTCGCTGCTCATATGATGTAAGTGAACAAAGTCTGATTGTTGAAGCCTGAGAATGAGATTAGTTAGAGCTTGTCTGTGTTCATTTGTCGAATTAAACAATTGAACAAAAATTTCAAGCTCTTTTGCTACAAGGACCAAATTTTAAACAAAGGAGAGTTTGGATCATTATATTGATCAGGCTTTTGATATAACAGTTTTTAAATAGGCTTGTCAAAAGCTTGGTATTCAATAAGAGCTTTATGAATTGTTTACACTGAGTTCTAATTTCTTCTATAAAAATTGAATCTAATAAATTTCATATATCATTGGAAAGTTCATGCCATGTACATCAAGAAAAACTAATGGTTAATAAAATTTGCAACTCAAATATCATTTTTGGTTATTTATGGTTAAAATTGCTAACCAAGTGCCTACTTTCGATATATTTGAACTTAATTTGAATTGTACTATAATATTTATATAATTAAAATGCACATGTGAACAGATTTAAAGTTACTCAAGGTTTTAGAAAAGATTATCAACAAATTTTTTTTTTGCATGCACCCGGAAGTGGAATGGAATGTAGGAAAGGAGAGCTTTTCTCTTTTCTCAAATCTCAAATAGAATGGGAAAATAAAGGGAGAGGGCATGTGACAAAAAGACAAAAGGAAGTTGATATAAGCAGACGCCGGATTATCCGCTTTCACCGTATTCTCTTCCGAAAGACCGTATTCTTTGCATGTGAGATGAGAAGGATAGAAAGATTAAAGGCCCTAGAGGAGCTAAGGCATTACTTCGAAGAAGTAGTGCTTTCTTCTATTGTCTCATCAGGGGTTCCATCCGAACTAGGAGAATCAGGACAAGCAATTCAAAAAGAAAAAAAGATACCATTTCTATTTGTAAGCATAGCCTATAAGCCCTTAAGTTATTTTCAGGGGTTCCACTTGAATTGGATTTCTCTCCCTCTTCTATCTTTCCACTCCATGTACTCTACTTTCTCATAAATTTCTTCTCTTTATTCCCTCTTCTATATGTTTTCACTCTAATCCCTATTTTCTCCTTTCCCTCCCCTGTTCTACATCAAGGGGCTGAGCTTCAAAATACCCCATCCTCCCTAAGCTCTCTTTAGCAAGTTATATAGGGCCCTGCAAATGCAGGCTCCTGTTTGTTAGTAATGGGCTTTCATGTATTGTGCAATTAATTGTAAGCTACCTATAGGGTAGAAAGTTTTTGATTGGTCCTTTAAAAGTTTGTCTTTTTTTTTTTTTTTTTGGCTTGGCATGCATCTGCAAGTGGCTAAGCTTGGAAAGATTAGCCAAAGTGTAGTTGAAGTTGAACAGTCTCTAGGGTCCCCAAAATGGGTTTGGTAAGTTTTGAGCTTGTTAAAGTTATCCAAGGTTGACACTCAGCTTGGGTTGGCTCATTTGCAGTTGCAGACCTTGGTGCTTCTCAACCTATGCAGCCCAGATCAACATTAAAAAATTTGCATGTGTGATTAATAATCTCTTGATCACAAAGATCACCGACCTACAACCTTGAGTAATAATGCACATGGATAAATTATACTAAGGAGAGAACTTAGTAACATGTCCCCTGATAAAAGGAAGTGAAACTTGAAGAAACAATATCCATTTTATTGTTCACAACTATTTTGCACTAAATACCTCTTTCTTGACAAGTCTCAAGAACTCTTCACGCTCCCTGCTGACTGACTGGAAAATTGGCAGCAAAGAAAGTCTAGAATCAGAGTATGAGGAATCAAATATAACATATGCATAAAGAGTGTTATTAGTCAGTCCTTACAGATGCAGAAGCTAAAACAGCTAAAGCTCGGCTGAGCTCACATAGCTGCTCTTGTTTCTCCAATGTTTTTGCCTTTGCTAATTCTTGTGCTTCTTTAGCTGTGGAAACAGCCATCCCTTCCAAAGCCACATCCTTGTGGTTGCTAATAGATTCTTTCAACTTGGCTTGTTCCTCTTCCTCTTCTTCTTCGTCCTACACATTTGTTTCTTCAAATATAAACAACACGGCCACACACATAAAATGCAACAAAACTGGAACCTATAGATCTAACAACTCAAATGGTATAAAAAAAATAACACTTACAGATACATATGTCTATTTAGTAAAACGAAATCAACTTTTGTGCTTTAAAACATAAAGGGAAATTAAGCACTCCAATCCCAATCAAAAAGTTAGGTTTTATGGCAATAAAGCATAAACCCTTGAGATTTATAGCTTCCCTTTTTCATTGTAACCCACCGTAGTATATCACCTTATATTACATGAATTAAACCTTGATAAACTGATAATTCAGTCAAAATAACATACATGTTTTTTCTTTTGTTTACCAGTATCATATAAGAGAGCACAAAAAAGGAGAATCATATAAACAATGACAAATCTCAAGGCTTTGGAAAAAAAAAAATGAACATGGCACAAATAAGCATTTTCCTCTTTTCTAAGACATTGCAACATCAAGTAAAGCATTAACACAGTAAACCTTGATAAATTCTTCCTGCATTTCAAGGAATTCTAACTTTCTCCTCCTTTCTGAAACAGAATCTTCAGATGGTAAAGCTGTAACCCCAACAGTATCCACAACCTCGTCTGGCAGAGAGGAGAGTGTAGCTTGAACAGCCTCCTCTGGTCTGACTTTTCCAGACACAGAGAATGCTCTGAAGAGAAAAACAAGGAAATAAATTTCTGAATGCTTTCATACGTCAAACAAAAATAAACAAGTCGAAATGCAAAGTTACCTAGAGAGAATCAACAGAGAAGAGGGCACTGAATGATTGAGAGATAAATCCAGCCAATCAAGCAACTGTGAAGAGAAATAAATATTTACATAACAAGATAACACTTTGTTATTCCTTTAAATCCTATATAAGTAGCACTCATTAGTGAATCAACATAGAAAATTAGAGATAAGGTTCCCAAGCACATATTTTAATCAAATACAATCCCACTATGTTACCAAAATTTTATACATAAATGTATGTAAAAATGCATGTACGTATCCATATAAAATCCTATTGGTGTTAACTATTAGAAAAAGAAGCACAACCAAATTGCTAATCTTTTGTTTCAAGCTCCTCATACTAAACCAAAAACTAGCCGCATTTTGTAATATCGCTGAAATTTTTGGGATAAATTGCTGCCTGAAGAAACATAATTTTCAGTTGATGAAAAAGATAAACAGGATTGAGCACTAACCTGATGTCTCATCTCCTCCACTGAAAGTAATCCAAGTAAGCCTCGATCTCTGCAAGCTTGACGAAGCTCCGCTTCTGAAAGTGACTCCACACCCTCAACTTGAATCACCTTATCATCATTCTTGATCCTACAAATCACATACAGGCTTTAACAATGCAAAATGGGTAATTTTTCTCCTCATTCATGACATCTTCATGATTCCTAAAACAACCATAAATTTTTCTATAATGCAATAATGATCAGGATATAAAAAATTATGCTTAAACACTGCCGGCTAAGCATCCTGTAACACATCCTAAAAAAAGAAAGAAAAAAGGCAGAGTCTTACTCTTGCAGTCTTTTCCGAAGCATATAACGTAAATATGCATCTGTACCGTACGGACTGATACCCATATATTTGCACATATTCACCAAACGAGGCCTGTAACCAACAAAGGAAACAGCTAAATCAATAGTGTATGACAACTTTAAGTTGAAGGACATGAAGAATTCCTCTTCTTTTTTTTATCTGATAAGAGGAAAGGGAACTCACACACATCCAAGTGATTACACACCCAATGAAGAGATGAAGTGTGGGATAATTCCACAATAAGAAAATAAATAATGAAGTACCAACCTGCTAATATTGTCTAAAGTAAGCTCATCATTAAATAACTTGGCAAAGCCTAAAATTTCATCATTGGATACACCTGCACCAGTTCTAACCTGTTCAAATGCCATAATGAACCATACGTTAATATCTTTCTCTTAAGAAAAACCAACAGAAATTTCCACCAACATCATTAGCTTCCTTTTTATGCCAGGAAGAAAAAAATTAAAAGAAAAAAAGATACCTTGTTCATAAACTCATCAAGATCTTCTGCTGTCTTTTTAACATCTCCACTTCGTGAGTTTTGGATTTCTTTTGCCATTTCCTTTACTGTATCTTGAAGAAACTTTGCATATTCTATCCTTGCATTTAGCCGTCTTTTCAATGCTTCCTACAGGTTAAGCATCTCTATTGAGACCAGATTCTGATTTTATGCATAATAAATCATAACATTCAACTTTAGTGGATTGCTATTAGAAACTTCTCAAAGTATTATTATAAAAAGCAGAAAGCCACACTAATAAAAATATTCCTTCCTAGCATAAAAAATCAGAATGATCTCAAAAAAAAAAAAAAAACCTAGATTTGCATAAATTGGCTATTTCTTAAGCCAAAGATATTACAAATAAGAATGATACTAAAACCAGACAAATGCTTCATAATGGAGAAATCCAAGGCAACCATTACCTGTTCTTTCATCTTGTCCTGGAAGGTTGATGGTAACATGTTTGGAAATAATTTCAAAAATACTGGTAGCAAAAACTCCATAAATGGAACTATGATAAAAACTGCAAAAGGGACTAGCCTAAAAATATCAGCTGTGGTTCTAGTAAGTTGTTGCCTTTCCCTTCTAGATAGACCCTTCCCACTAGCAAGTTTTACCAATAACCTTGAGCTTATCCTAATATCAGCCCAAAGCAACTTTGTACCCAACCAATAGTGTTGCATTGTAGATTTAAATTCATCCTTCCAATGCCGAAGCTTCTTTGCCCAGTCTTCCCTGGAAGAAGGTATACAAATAATAAGTATCAGAGAAATTACATCAGTTCAACTATAAACAAACTAGAGGAGTTTAAACCTGCTCATAGAAGCAACAGCTCTTAAGGCAGGTCCAATGCCCAGAATCGTGGCCCATATTTTCTTGATTACGGATTGAGCACTTTTAGGGGAGTCCTGTAGCTGCTTAGCTTTTGCTTTGGCTTTCACTGTAGTCAGGCCTTCAACTGCTTGATCACATTCCTCAGGCGAAGCCTCCTTCACCTTTTTTGTAGCCTGTTGTTCATTTCCATCATTCTCGTTGCCCAATTCAGGTTGACCAGCAGTAGCAGTTGAAGCAGAACGTACAGATTGTGAAAACCACCGGACCCCCAATGGTAACACAAAATCTAAATCTCCCACTTGATAACCCAAGTTTGAGATTCCAGATGAGTTACTCCTATAATATTGAGCTGCTAGAAAATTTGACAGCTCATTTTTTTGAACCGAAGGTAAAACGACTTTCGTAAAATCGGAATTCTGGTAAGGACGGTTTGCATCCAAGGCTGTTCCTCGTGAATCCTCAAATGTAAAGGATTGCCTATGGTCAAAACTAGAAAAGCCTCGAAAAAGGGAAGTGGGTCGAGTTGGGGAATTGAAAATGTAGCTCCTCCTTCGCAAGATCACTCTTGATGCCATTATAAAATAATTCCAACTTAATCAATAAGAAAATAATTACTTAGCTGATCCTAGCAATTGACTTAGCCAGTCTGCAGATAAAAGGATAGAAAAAAAAAAATAGAATGAATTACACTTGAAAAGACTCTACTGTCTGCCATAGAAACTTGGAAGATTTCACAAGCACAATGTAGTTCAGACACGACACTCACCAATTATTCCCAGGTCAAAATCAAATAACATCATAGCATAGTACATACCAAAAGGTAAAAAAAAAAAAAAGAAAAAAAGAAAAAAAAAGAGACTCCCCGAAAGACTTATTAAGCAGAATTTCGTTCAATCATTTGAGACACATATTAATTTTTCTTTAGAAAAAAAGTTCAAAACTATTGGTTCTAATCTCCAATGCATAAACGTGAAGAAAATTATATATCAAATTACTGAAGATTAACAGCCAACACCAAATAACCATAAAATCTAGAGATAAACAAAAATTGAATAAAGCAGTAACCGAAAGAAAGAGCTGATTTTGAAACATACCTTTAAAGAAGAGCAACGAAATGTATGAAAAGAATGGAAAATCGGTTAAGAGTTTGTTCAGAGAGAAGCAGGCAGCAGCCGAGTCAGAGAGAAAGAGAAGGGGGCGGATCCTAGAGCCTGGAGAAGTGGACGTGTCTTTCTTTAACAAATATTCACACGATAAAAAATATGAGGAATTTCAAACAAGGGTGCTTTAATAGGAATATATGTTAAGTAATACACAACCAAAAATAATAAAAAATATTTACTATGTAAAATTAATAAAAAGAAAAATAAAATCACTTTTATAACTTTAATTTTTAACTGGTGTCAAATACAATATACATATTATTATCATATTATTTCAATGAAAAATATGTACAATTATCTTTTAATATATACATAAATAATATAAAAAATTTACAATTATGCATGGTAGTTTATTTTAAAAAAGATCTTATATTTTGAAAAATATGATTTTGAAACCTTAAAATCAATGCATCCATCAAACTATAAACTAACAAAAAATTTCATAAGTATATATTATTGGATATGAATGTACATAATTTGAGAATATATGTATATTTAAAAGGAAATATATGTAAAATAAATTTAAACTATATGTATGTTAGCAAAAAATTATATTATCAATTTTAAAATATCAAATTATTATCCATTATGTAGGATAAATTCTATTAGTTTTATTGTAATTAGATAAGTTTTTTTATTTATATTCAAATAAATTTTATTTCAAATGAAAAATTGATTTACATTAAGAGTTTATTTAAATATATATTAAAAGTTATTTGGATATAAATTAAAAGTTAAGACTTTATTGAGTGCAAATTGAAAGTAAAAAATTTATTTATATTAATAAAAATATAAGAATTTATTTAAATAAAGTGATAAAGATCATGCTTTTTTTGTTATTTTAGCTTATATAATCCATTATATAAAATAGTATGAAAATGAAATTTTATAATTATACATATTTTAATTTTTTTTAATATTCTTCAAAAAAATTATAAAGTTTTGAACTTTTTACTTATGTATACTTATTGTCAATTAATTGTACATATATTTTGGAATATACATATAATTAATATATCTTTAAAGTACATATGACATTAATGATAGTAATTTTAATTTTCTTTTTATCAAATACATATAAATGTTTTATTCTCATTAATTATTTCTGATAATAGTACCAAAGTAAATATTTATAATGGACTACCCCATTTTGTGATTCCTGTATAGTACTAAACCCTCCCACGCTTATTTTCTTGTTTGTCAACCGTGGGATCAAACAAATTCTTATCAATCTTTAGATTAAGAAAAAAAAAATAAAAATAAATAATTGATTAAGATAAGATAAAATAAAATAGAATACACAAATATTTTGTCATAGTCAGCGCCAAGAAACACCATCTGTCCAAAGATAAAACAAATTATGGATATTATTATAAATTAATTAATAAATTAAAGTTCCTTATTACTATTTACAATATGAAATTTTCTTATTAGAAGATGAAAAAGAAAATATAGTTGTGGAATCTTTACTTCTCTTCCCATCTACAAAATTTTACTAACATCTCATTTTTTATAAAAAAAAAAAAAAAAAAAAAAAAAAACTTAGGATTTAACACTAAAAAAAGTTTACACCCAAAAAACCTTTGCCAAAAAATTTTACATCTAAATTTTCTTATTAGAAGATGAAAAAGAAAATTTTCGCATTTTTCTTTTTTTTTTTTTTTCATTTTTTCTTCTTTTAGTTCTTCTTCCTATATTCAACTACATATTCTTTAGTTAGAATTGATAAATTGACTCAAATTCAAAAAATTTATGAAATTAGCATGAATTTGAATATGAAATAACTCGAACTAAAAAATAATCTAAATCTACAATGATTTGAACCTAAAATAACTCAAATCTAAAATGACTCAAACTTGAATGACTTAAAAAATTAACTCAAAATGAATTGAACTTTAATAAAGTATCATTTTATTTTTAAAAATTATTAAATTAATTAAAATAATAAATATAATATAAACTAGTAGTCTAACAATATTAAATAACTACAAATTATCTTTTAAAAAATATATTTTTTAACATTTTTATGAATATTTGAAAATTATCTTTATTAATTGTAAGTAAAAATATTAGGAAAGAACTTTAAAACAAATCATTTTTTTCCCTTTCTCAACTCTAAAAGGAGTTTTCCTTAACAACTCAAAAGGATTATCTTTTTATTTTAACAACCTTAAAAGGCGTTTAGTTCAGAGAAATATGAAATTTTCTCTCAAAATCTTACTTGTGGGAATGTGATTCTTATGTTTGATTCATAGGTATCTGATTCTTAAGAATACTCTTAGATTCCTAACAGTATCCAAAAGTTTCAAAATAAAAAATTTACATTTCCAAGTGATTTTTTAAGATTCAGGGAAAAAAGTTATTTTTGTCCCACATTTATCCTAAATAAAAAATTTTTTCATTTTATTTTATCCTTTTGAAAATCAACATATAAAAAGAAACTTAATTTTGGTCTTTTATTTACAAACATAGTACTGAAAATAAATAGCACAATATTGCATTTCTTGGAAGCTTAATAAAGTATTTGAGTACTTGTTTTTTTAATGTTAAATATGACGTTTTTGGGGAACTAAACAAAATAATTGTGGATTAATTTTTTTTGAAAATTTTTTAATACAACGACGACATTTTTTATGAACAAAATGTCATTGTTTTTAGGATTTGAAATTTATGGATTATCTTTTTGTGCTGTTTTTAAAAACAATGACATTTTTCATGAGCAAAATGTTGTAGTTGCTATCAAGTTGTTTTGGTACAACTAGTTTATCACCTGTGTAACGTTTTGTCATTTTGCTATCAAGAGTGCATTTTTTATACAACAAATGTCGTTGTTATTGTTAATGAAATAAAAGTTTATTTTTTAATAAAAAAAAGGACGTTTCATTGTTTAGAAACGTAGTATTTATGAATACAATGATAGTGTTTTTGACATAAGAAATATCATTTTGTTAAAATAACTTTTTTAAATTAAAAAGATAATTTTCTCTTTTTAGACAGCATTGTAGAGCTCTAATCAAAGCCTTTTTTGTTTTAACCAAATTAGCTTCAACCTTTATAATTTTATCTTCATGCTTTTCATTTTATCTTCTATTTATCAATAAATGGTGAGTTTACTATCTATTACAAATGATATGTTCTACATTATTTGTTTGATTTAACTATCTTCTTGTTTATTTATTTATATCTCATTTAAATTTTAGTTGAAAAATTGTTGATCTATCATATATGTTTCTCATTTTGGTTTTTGTTCTTGATCCACAAATGTTTTGTTATTGGTTTTTGTTTTTTGTTGGATGTGTTTTCGATTCCATCAACCAAATGCACATATTTGCTTTCTACACATGTTTTCAACGTTAACAAAAATCATTCTTCTAAACAGTTATGGCTCGTTTATCAATAAAAAAAAAGATACAATTAGTGAAAGTGCTTATTTTGCAATTGAGTAAGATGAAGATTATGTTTCAACTGTTACTTATTGTTACTGTAACATTAATTGTAATGAAATTTAAAAAAAGATGTAGACTATCTTATGCTAATAACACTCATGATAGGCTTTAGATTAGGAAGTTGAACTTAAACAAAATTATTTTTAAAAGTGATAAATAAAGTGTAGTTAATAGTAGCATGAATATGAGATTTTTTGTAAAATTATGTCAATTGCTTCAAACACAAGAAAGTTTAAAAGCATCTAGACATATATCAATAGAAGAAATAGTTATTAGCTTCCTCCATATCAATGCCCATCATACAAAAAATAAAGTTATGAAACGTCAAGTAGTCAGATTTGGAGAGACAATTGATAAGCAATTTTATGCTATGTTAAATTTTATTTTGAGACTGCATTCCCTATTATTTAAAAAACCAAAATCGATACCAACTAATTCAATAAATAGTAGATGAAAATGGTTCAAAGGTTGTTTGGGTGCCTTAGATAAAACATACATAAAAGTGAATGTAGACTAAGTTAATAAGCTTAGATACATGACTAAAAAAAATAAAATTATTACCAATGTTCTTGGTGTTTGCACATTAGATATACAATTCATATATGTTTTACTAGGATGAAAAGATTCTGTAGTCGATGGTAGAGTGCTCAAGGATGCTATTACATACAAAAATGGGTTAAGAATCTCACAAAGTATTAGCTTTAATATTTTGGTTTTAGTTTTGCATGAAAAATATTTTTTGTGTATTAATGTTGTGATACTAGAATATATTTTTACTATTTATGTAATGTTGGATATATAAATGGGAAAAGTTTTTTAACACTTATGAGATCAAAGGTACTACTAGAATGATTGAAGGCTAGGATACTAATTTATGACACCTCAAGAATACTTCAATATGAAACACTCTTAAGCAAGAAATTGTAGCGGAAGATGTTTTAGTATATTGAAAGCTAGATTGACAATTTTAAGGAAAAAATCATTTTATCCAATAAAAATACAGTGTAAAATCATTTTTGTTTGTTGCCTTATCCATAATTTTATTAAGTCTGAGATGGTAATTGACTTTATTGAAAGTGATATTGTTGAAATAAATAATAGTCAACTAGATGGATCTAAGTATCAAGATTTGATTAGGCATGTTGAGTCAAGTAATGCTTAGACTCAGTTTAGAGATAACCTAACATAGAAGATGTTCACGAATTGGTTGCAATCCTATGGTTAAGGACACTAGTTTTTTTTTTCTTATTTTATTACTTACATTGATTTTTGTATGATATGGTTGAGTAAACTATTTGTTTTATATGAATTTTCCTTTTTTTATTAGTGTATAATGCATATAAATATTGTTTGCAATAATATTTAATTTGTTTTCATGTTTATTGGTTTACTTTCTGCACTAATTATATGTTTATCTTTATTAGATTTTGATTTGATATGTATTTTATTGCATGATGTCTAACTATATGATTAGGATATTAAAATACTTTCATCAGGTGCCAACATAAGAAACACATCAAAAAGAAAAAAAAAAGCTTATTAGTAGGTAATCACTCCTCGACAAATGATGATAATACAATACTTATCCAATGCCTACATATATTGGCAAATAATCTTAAATGGAGAAGCGATAATGGA